CTGAAGAACAAAACAACAGCAACTTGTCTGTTCCCCTTCCCCAGATTCCCCAGCGCTGTTCCCCTCCCTCAATTCCCCAATAAAATATTTAAAAAACAAACAAACAAACAAACAAAAACATGCATTCTGTCTCTGTGGATTGGCTTGTTCTGAACATTTTATCTAAATGGAATCAGACAACACATGATTTTTTGTGTCTGGCCTCCTTCACTGAGCATGTTTTCAAGGTTCATCTGTGTTGTGGAGCATATCAGTACTCCACTCCTTTTTATCACTGAGTAATATTTTATTATATGGATAGACCATATTTTATTTATCCATTCATCAGCTGACAGACACCTGGGTTGTTTCCACTTTTGGACTATTAGGAATAATGCTGCTATGAACATTTGTGTACAAGTTTTGTGTGTGAATATATTTCTGCAATTCTCTTGGGTTAATACCTAGGAGTGGAATTGTTGGGCGAATTGTTTGAAGAACTAATAATCGTTATGCTGAGTGGCTGTACTACTTTACATTCCCATCAGCAATGTAGGAAGGTTCCATTCTCATCAACCCTTTTGTCTGTCCTGATTATAGCTACCCTAGTGGGAGTTCACATTTTTTGAATGAAATATCAAGGAACATAATTCTTAGGGCTGGCAGAGTGGCTCAGTTGGTTAAGAGCTCGCTCAAGAATGTGAGCTCTGAGCAACAGGGTCGCCAGTTCAATTCCCGGCCTGAGCTGAACTGCCAACAGGTGGCAGGATGGCTCAGCTAAAAAAATAATAATAATAATAATAATAATAGAAACGTAATTCTTTGTAGATTATTTTCCTAATCTACAAAAAAAATCCATTTCCAGAGCAATAAACTCAATTCTAGGTACAGGGAAAGGGTTAATAGCAGATGTCAGTATCTCAGAGAGGTCTGACACACAAGTCTGGATGGCCCCTCACTGCCCTTGGGCTCTGACATCCTGCAGGTCAGCAAGCAGCTGCAGCCTCACCATGGGCCAGTGCACTTGGGCCTGTCTTGCGGATGCAAGACCTGACAAAGCTGGAAGCCAGAGGAGTCCTTGCTTCCCAAGGGCCCAGACAGCTTCCATCTCTCTTAACCAGGGACAGCCATACTCAGAAGGAGGCATCACTGGGGTGATGTGACACACAGGGGACAGGCCACATCTCTGAACACCAGCCACCTTCCCCCAAACTTGGGTCCTACTTCCCCATGCATGATGTGTCAGGACTCTAGAAATGTCTCGAGCATCTGTGCTGACAGGAGTAGCCGTGCCCCTTCAGCCCTGCTCACCACCCTCTCACCTCTCAGAGGTCTCAAAGGACAGGCTGGCTTTCTCCTCCTTGTGGTCACTGCCACTGCTTGACCGATGCAGGCTCCGGCGGGAGTGCTTGCGCCGAGGTTGTTCCCGCTCTGGTGTGTCATCCTGCTCCACGGTCTCACTTTCCACATAAGGGTAGGCCACCAAGTTGATGTAACCATCACTGTCCCCCTCAAAACAGACAGACACCACGCCTGTTGAAAAAAAGGCAGCCAGTCAACAACTGTCTACACAGGCTGGGTCCATGCACCACAGACTGCTAGCACTGCCTGTTCCATAGCACACAGACATCACCTGCCCTGAACAAACTGTAGGTCAATGTAGGAACAATGACCAGCAGACATCCTTCCAGAACATAGCTGACCAATCACCCCCACTCTAAGTCTGCTACTTACTTTTGATCTTGGATAAATCTATATTTATTTCCCATTTTCTTTTCTTTTTTTAAGATTTTATTGGGGAATTGGGGAATTGGGGAAGGGGAACAGCCGAGTTGTTGTCCTTCAGTCTTAGTTGTGGAGGGCACAGCTAGCTCAGCTCCAAGTCCAGTCGCCATCCGGCCACCCGTCAGCAGCTCACGGCCGCTCAGCTCAAGGTGCCGTGTTCAATCTTAGTTGTAGATGGGTGTAGCCGACCATCCCATGTGGGAGTAGAACCAGCCACCTTGTTGTTAGGCACATGTGCTCTCATCAGCAGAGCCATCCTGCCACCTGTTGGTAGCTCAGTGGCAGCTCAGCTTGGGCGCAGCTCACTGGCCTATGTGGGAATTGAACCAGTGACCCGACTGAGCCACTCAGCCGACCCCTATTTCCCATTTTCATATCTGGCACTCTCACTTTCAATTACTGACTTCTGCGCCCTTCAGAGAACTGTGTTCCCTCAGTGACATCCATACCTGACATAACCCTCTATTTATTTAACTGCTCTATGCTGCTGCCATTTCCTGTTTCCTCCTCTAGATCTGGGTTTTCTTCTGCCTGACAGTGTCACCTAGAGAGAAAGAGACATCAAGACTTCTCTCTCCAAGACAGACCCAAACATATGTCTTCTGCCCACACTGAGCATCAGACTTTTCTAACCTCACCAGTCAGAACTTCCATCCATCAAACCACCAGCATTCCTAAGTTGAGACAGCTTTGTATTTTCCACACTGTACTCATGCAAAACAGTTTATTGTGTCCGTTTTTATCAAAGAGGTTGTTTGTAGTTTCTTCTGGATTAACAAAGCAGTTAAAACACAATGCCTTGAAATCTAACTCAAAGAGGAGGGTTTTGTTTGCTTTTTATAATAGAAAGGTCCAGGCTGCCTTTTCTCTAACTTCCATGTCTAACCTTCTGTCAGCTACATTTCTCTTCACCCTTGGTATGCAAAAATTGGTTTTGCAGTCTGAAAATTAGTGAGGAAAAAAAACACATTCCCATTACGTTGCTCAAACACGTGCCTCACTTTAGTGGGCTTCACATTGGTGCTCTGGCTTTCTTACACAGGTGGCTGCCTCTCCTACAGGTCTTGGCCTTTGTAACTTCCTGTCTGTCTTTACCAGAGCCTCAATTCTGTTCAAGCCTGAGTGCCCTCTGGTCTACAATCTTCTCTGTCTCCTGGGCAACCCCTCATGCTCTGATCTAGTGTCCTCCAGGCTGGCCACACAGCTCCCATGCTGGGCCCCTCCCTGTTGTAACTAACCAGAGTGAAAACCATCTTCCATGATCCTCTACTTCTCCCAGTTCTTGGTTTACTCATTTGAGTGGAAAACATCTTCAAGTAACTTCCTAAGAAAGGGTGTTCAAGAGGTCAATTTTCTGAGTCTTTTGCAGGACTTTATTCTACTCCAATACTTCATTGATATTTTCGCTGAAGACAGAATTCTATGGTGTCTGCAAACAAAGACAGTTTTACTTCTTTCCAATTTGGATGCTTTTTATCACTTCATTTTCTTGCCTAACTGCACTGGCCAGAACCACCAGCAAAATGTTGACTAGAAGTAGTGAGCATGGACACTCTTGTCTTGTTCTTGATCTTGGAGGGGGGAAGTAATCTTTGATCATTAAGTATGATGCTAGCTGTAGGTTTTTCATAGATGCCCTCTATCAGCCTGAGGAACTTTCCTTCCATTCCTACTTTGCTGAGAGTTTTGTTGTTTTATCAAGAATGGATATTGGATGTCGTCAAATGCTTTTTCTGCATCTATGAAGATAATCATATAATTTTTTTTCTTTTTTTAAGGCTATTAATATGGCAAATTACATTTGCTTTTGAATGTTAAACCTACCTGCAACCTACCCTGTATTACTCTTATCAACCCTACTTAATCATGACATATTACCTTTTTAATATATTACTGGATTCAACTTGCTAAAATTTTGTTCAAATGTTTAACATCTAGGTTCTTAAGAACATTTATTTTCTTATAATGGACTTTGAATTGGAACACATCTCTCTTCAATTTTTTTGGAAGAGTTTGTGTAGAACTGGTAATATTTCTTTCTTAAATATTTGGTAGAATTGGCTGGGTGGGCCTAGAGTTTTCTTTGCTAGAATGCTTTGAACTCCAATTTCAATTTGTTTAATAGATAGGGCTTTTTAGGTTATTCATTTCTTTTTTTATTTTTATTTTTTAAAGATTTTATTAAGGAATTGGGGAAAGGGAACAGACAAGTTGCTGTCCTTTTGTTCTTCAGTCTAGTTGTGGAGGACGTCGCTTCACTGGTCCATGTTGGTATTGTGATCGTTGCGCTCTTCCCAGGTGAGGTAGATCGGTCGCCCGCCACTGGGCAGCCGCTCACGGCAGCTCTTGGCAACTCATGCTGGCTGCAGGCCGCTCACCACAGCCCAGCTCCAGGTCGAGCTGTTGTTCACCATCTTAGCTGTAGAGGGCGCAGCGTCACTGGCCCTAATATGGGATACAAACTGCGGCCCTGCTGCTCAGAGCCGGCATCCCAAGCCAACTCTTAACCAACACGCCACTCGGCAGGCCCTATTCCTTTCTTCTTGAGTGAGTTTCATAGTTTGTGTCTTTCAAGAAACCGTATTTCATCTAAGTTGTAGAATTTGTTGTCATAAAGTTGTTCATAATATTCTTTTTGTTTTTAAATATCAGTAGAATCTGTACTGATGATACAGCTATCATTTCTGATACTGGAAATTGATGCTCTCTTTTTGCTGATCAGTCTGACTAGAGATTTATCCATTTTATTGTTCTTTCAAAGAATCAGCTGCTGGTCTTTGGTTTTCATTGACTTTATTTTTTGCTCATTTTTCTACTGAACTTTTTCTTATTGATTTCCTTAAATTTACATATACCAAAAAAATGTACATCTGTATATATTTTTTCCTGGAAACTAATGCTTGGTCCACTGCATGTGCAAATATCTTTATCTCTTTATTTTCTTTAAAGGTGTATTTTGATATATAAAAGTTTTAAATTTTATATAGTCAATTGTATCATTCTCTCCTTTTACAATTAGCTCTTTTCTTGCCTTGTAGGGTCACCTGAAGCTAAACTGGAGACCTTTAATTCTCTGTACGCACATACCACTGAGTACTACCACTGGCAGACACAGAGCATCACATCTGATCAGGGGAGAAACGGCTATGCTGTGGGCAGGGCAGGAAGGACCTAGCTCCCTCTAAGAGCAGGTGAGATTTGGTCATTAATTGAGCCATGCAATCTACCAAGAGTTTTAGGAAAAAAATATTTTTGATCCTGACATTTTTTTACCTCATTATTCACACCTAGGCAGAATGCACGGTAGGAAAATAAAAAGTAATAGTCTTTAAAAAAAAATTTTTTTTTAATTGGGGAATTGGGGGGATGGGAACAGCACTGGGGAATTGGGGAAGGGGAACAGACAAGTTGCTGTCGTTTTGTTCTTCAGTCTAGTTGTGGAGGACGTTGCTTCACTGGCCCAAGTTGGCACCATCATTGCGCTCTTCTCTGGCGAGGCAGATAAGTCGCCGGCTTCTGGACGGCCGCTCACTGCGGCTGCTGGCTGCTCACGCTGGCTGCTGGCTACATACGGTAGCCCATGGCAACCCACTGCCACAGGGATTGCAGCCTACGCCATCGCTGGCGACTCAGGGCAGCCCAGCTCCAGGTTGAGCTGTTGTTCAGCATCTTAGCTGTGGAGGGCAGTGTCACTGGCCCTCATATGCGGGATCCGAACCGGGGCCCTCTGGCGTCCTAAGCCAGTTCTTAACCATCGTGCCACTCGGCCAGCCCAAAAAAATTAATAGTCTTTTAATTCATCTGATATAAATCCTCATTTTCCTGGCATTTATAAGATTGGTTTAAACAGATATACATATATAGCATAAATTTGTTTAACTATTTTAAGATGTACAATTCAGTGGCATTAAGTACATTCACAATATTGTATAAACATTATTATCTATTTCCAGAACTTTTTCATCGCCTCAAACAAAAGCTCTGTACCCATTAAACAGTAACTCCCCATCCATTTACCCCTGCCTGAACCCCTGGTAACCTCTGACCTACTTGCAGTCTCTACAAACCTGCCCATGGTAGCTATTTCATGTATGTGGAACCCAGTGATTTTGGTCCTTTTTCTGTTTGGCTTGTTTCACTTAGCATGTTTTCAGGGTCCATCCACCGTGCAGCCTGTATCAGAACTTCATTTCTTTTTATGGCTGAATACTATTCCACTATAAATATATAGCACATTTGGTTTATCCATTCATCTGTGGGTGAGCACACACTTGGGTTCTTTTCACCTTTTGACTATTGTGAATAATGCTTCTGTGACTATTAGCTCACCAGTATCTGTTTGAGTCTCTGTTTTTAGTTCTTTGGGGTATATCCCTGGGAGTGGAATTGCTGGATAATATGGTAATTCTGTGTTTAACTTTTTGAGGATTGTCAAACTGTTTTCTATAGCGGCTATACCATTTGACATTCTTACCAGCAGTGTTCCTACTTCTCCACACCCTTGTCAACACTTGTCTGTCTTTCCGTCCTTCCTTTTTAATAGCAGTCCTAGTAGGTGTGAAGTGGTATCTCACTGTGGTTTTGATTTGCATTTCCCTGATGACTAATGAGCTGAGCATCTTTTCACGTACTTATTAGCCATTTGTGCATCTTCTCTGGAGAAATGTTTAAGTCCTTTGACAATTTTTGAATCGGATTGTTTCTTAACTCTTAATTAGCAAAAAGAGATTAATTAATTCTTAGAATAC